AAACTTCGCAGGCCACCCTTTCTCTCTGCAGCAAAACAAACATTATGGACATACCATCCCAGTGGTCTTTAAAACTAGGTCACCTACTGAAAATAGATAATAATATTATACAATATGCTCGATATACTATCTAATCTTCTATACTGAAGAACACATATGTTATATGCTCTATATACCAGAGTTACCAATACATGTTACTTCTTGGGAGTTTTTTATTTTTGGTTTCTCTTCATCTTTTTCCCAAAAGGAAGTACTTACTTAATTTTGAGCTTTTACTTTTTTTTTTTTTTTGATTTTGACTATCGTAACCTTTGGCTGCCCATTTAGTTGAAACATCCTATGTCTAACTAACATTCATATATGCAAGTCAGTGCTCCAGCAGTTGTTGATGCATAATCTTTGTGTATTGATGAACGCACAAAATCTCCTGTGAAAGAAATCATACTTTCTTGGCAGATATTACATGAAGGTGGTTGATATTTTTGTGTGGAGGTTCTGAGACATCAGCTTCATAGGCAGGTGCATGATTTAACATAGAGGAAGGCTTATGCACAGCTGTTCTTTTGCCATCCCTGTTGCTCCTCAGACTGCCTGTCCTGCCCCAGGCCTCACTTCTGCCTTAAGTTACAAATTCTAGTAAATCAGGACAGAAGCACGGACAGAAAGCAGGATGGCAGATGGCCCTCCAGGAACCTGCCCACGCGATGCCAGCACAGAGCCTGATCAAGAAACCAGTGACTCCTCAAGAAACCAGTGATGCTGCAGACATTTTACAGGCAGGGTCGGACTCGGGGCTAATCCCTGCGTTGACAACTGCTCTTCAGTCCGTGCGCACACTTTGGCCTTCACAGGATCACAAAGGAAAAGGAGACAGGAAAATATCACACTAGTTTTAAAACGGCGCCAGTGTTTGCCAGTGGATATAAAGTATTTGGTTTTATTCTCAATGCTGAAGTCAATCAGCTTGGGCAGGTAAGAGTTTTAGATTTTTGCTTTCCCTCAGCGCCAGCTGCAGCTTCCCTCTGTGTGTCCGTAACTGCAGGCACCAAAGCTGCTCTGATGGGCTGCATGTTTTGCAATGACCTGCCTGCCAGGCACTGTATTTCCCTTATCTTTTTTCTCCCTCTTTTTTTTTCATAACACTCCCTGAAATCCTCATGACTGAGCCCGACATCCAGCTGCCGAGTGCTGAAAATGGTGACTCCAACACAGTCACTGTCTTGCCAGGATAATCCTCCTCCCTCTTTCCCCTACTCACTGTCAGCTCAGATCTCAAAAAAGGAAAATCATAAAAAAATAGTAGTGGGATGTGTTTGAGAGTCCAGTGCTCTGCTGATCCACCATAAAGTATATGCTGAATTTCAATCTCACAGGAAAATAATCCAGAAAATCAGTGTACAATCAGAGCAGGTATTACAAGATTTTGTTCCAGCACTTTTCTCATCAAGGCAATAAAAAAAAATTATTAATGTGTTCGAAGCTAAAAATTCCCAAATCAAAACAACTCAGCACATATGGTACAACCTAGAAAAAAATTATTAATGTGTTCGAAGCTAGAGAAAACCTTCCCAAATCAAAACAACCCAGCACGTATGGTACAACCTATCCATAACCTACACAGGTTAGACCTGTGTTTATTATTAAATAGACCTGTGTTTATTAGGAAAGTGTTTATTTCCTTACTAACCCGGGCTCAGCAAGTCTCATTTCCAGCATGCCCATCTTGCCATACTTCAAGTTTACAACAATGTTAGTTCTTTATGCTATATACTAGCATGCTGATATATGCTATGTGCTAGTAGAGAGCCAAGCTATGACTCTTGTTTCATAGCTTCACATCTCCTCTGTAATGTGCTGTGAAATAGAGCTGTGGATGCTAAACCTGTGCAGCAAAAGCCAGTTTTCCGGGAGAAATCCCCTCTTACCCCACTCTGCAAAGATCCAGAGTGTAATTGAATAAAGAATTGCCAGCTCCAGAGTCTTTCAAAACTGGAATATATTGGGATTGGCGTCCCTAACCTATTGGGTTGCTATTTTGTTTGGTTTCCTTGGCAATGACGGTTAATTACTTTCCTTTCTCATACAAGGCCAGAAAAAAAACTCAGTCACTTCAAGATATTTCCCAGCAACTGGAAAATTTAGGGCTTTAAAGGAAAAAGAGAGGAAGTGATTTGTGAGGTAGTGGAAAACTTCATAAAGTGAGGGAATTTCTAGAGAGGAGGGAGCTTCTGAGGTGAAAGAGAAGGACAGAGAACTCAAAGAAGAGGACATAGCAAGTGAAGAGCTGCCAGACAGGGTATCAGCGCGGACATAGAATGTGGCAGAAAAATGACAGATGATGGAATAAGGCCAGACTATGATTAAGCTTCCTACACAAATGGGCAGAAAGGGGAAAAGGTGCTGCTGCAAAATGTTTCCTAGGCAATTAGTATTGGCACCATTTAAATACAAGCACCATCGGACGCTTTAAGTTTTTCCTTCTCATTGTCACCCTGTAGCCTCAGTATCTGACACTTAAAATAGTTGATTATGAATTAATCTCAGCAGCTGCAAAATAATTCTAAAAAAAGGCAAAATAAAGCCACATATGTTTGAGTCTCCTATCACAGTACTCTCCCTTTTTTTTCCCAGTTGTTATTCTCCTAGACCTTTTCTGAACCTGACTGATTTTGTATGGACTTTCTGAACTGCAAGTTTCTGTAATAGTGGTGTGGTGATGCCAAGCACAGAGATAAAAGTCACCTCTCTCCTCCTACGCAGTATTTCCATGTGCTTTGCAGAGCCTGCGTTAGTCTTTTTAGCATCCACAGCACACCATGAGCTCATGTTCAGCTGATCATGAGCTCCTCTCTTCCCCCTCCAAGTCTCTGTGAGTCACTGGCTGGCGAGATAAAATCTCCTGTCCTGTTTGGTTTCCGATTTATGGTCTGTATAATTGTCGCACTGCTAAAGACATGTGCTTTGCAGCAGGATTAGACAGAGTGCGTTGTGATGAGTGTATGGATTGAAGTCTGTCTTCCTGCATCTCTGCTTTGTGATGTCCTCGTGTCCAAAAGGGTCTGAGGTCCAGGAGAGACTGACAGAGGTCACTTTTCCCTTTTCTGGGTGGGCAGTTTAACGCAACAAGCTGGGATAAAATGAGACTTTTGCCTTTCTGCCAAGCTTGAATGAGGGAGGACAGAAGTTTCAGACCTAATGAAGACCCATACGGAGGTAGTTTAAAAAGCATGGTGTTGAAGGGCTTATGGTTGGACTCGGTGATCTGGAAGGCCTTTTCCAACCATAATGATTCCATGATTCTAAATCAGAACAGCATGCTGTCAACACAACCATGCAAGATTCGTAAGAGATATGATCATGTATCTGACACTTTTTCTGTGCTTAATAAATAAATAACTAAATAAAGTTTCATCTAAAGTTACTCCTCATTAGCTTTATGTGAAGGGTATCAGCTGCAAGATATTAGCTTTGCAGACACACTATCCCCTTGTGCTCTGTCCAGCCGCGGCGGCCTCCCCAGCTGGCTGCCATCAAGTTAAAATGTAGGGAGGATAGGGCCAAACTCCTCTCAGCGGTGGCCAGTGGCAGGACAAGGGATAATGGGTACAAGTAACACAGTAATTTCCATCTCCATGTGAAAGAACTTCTCTTTCCTGTGAGGGTCAGAGCCCTGGAACAGGCTGCCCAGAGAGGTTGTGGAGTCTCCTTCTCTGGAGATCTTCAAAACCTGCTTGGATGCCACCCTGTGCCACATGCCCTAGGTGTCCCTGCTGGAGCAGGGGACTTGGACTACATGATCTCTAGAGGTCCCTTCCAACCTCAACCATTCTGTGAAAATGAGGAGGAAAAAAAAGAGGAAAAAGACAAACCGCA